TCATTCCCTATGTACATTTCATCAGCACATCATATTGGCTTTACCTTTAAAATATAGTCTGAACTGACCGTTTCTTATTGCCTTCACTGCTACTACCTTGTTACAAGCTGCTATCACCTCATGCCTACATTATTTTTATACATTCCTAAGTGGTGTCCCAGCTCCCAGACTTGGCACCCTACTCTCAATACAACAGCCAATGTGACCCTACTAAAACAAAGGTCAGATCATGGCAAAAGACTCCAATGGCTTCCTCTATATCTAGGAGCAAATAAAAGACCTTAAAGTGACATTTAAGGCCATCCACAAGTTGCTCTCCCCACCCCATTATCTTTTTGACCACAACTTCTATCTTTTTTCTATTTAGTTTACTCTTCTTGAGCTACAACAGCCTCCTTGCTATTCCTCAAACATGCCAGGAATGTTCTTACCTGGGGGTCTTTGCACTTTGTCTAGAATGCTTTTCTTTCTGGTAGTCACATGCCTTGTTCCTTTATGACTTTCATATTTTTTCCCAATTGTTACCTTCTCAAAGAGGCTTTCCCTGACCACCTGTCAAAATAGGAATCCCCCCTATCAAAAGCTCCTAACGAAGAGTCCTGAGCTTAGCCTATGATCAATAAATGTTTACTGTACATTTTCAGAGGTTGATTAGGAAGAATTTAATCGAACTGATGCAAATGGATCAGAATGACAGGGAAGGAGCAGAAATTTCAGGCAAGTGAGATAACTAAATCAGAGCTAAGTTCTGAAAAACCTGAAATTGAAAATTTCTCTCATATTGTCATAATATTTGAGAACAAGTGATTTAACCAAAGGAGAGACAGAGAGGAGAAAGAACCAGAGCTCGGGACTGAAGTACTGGGGGCAGTGATCGCTAGTGAGAAAGATTAGGAAGGAGTGAGCAGAAAGGCTTAGAAAGGTAAGAATAATGAAGTATCAAGAGGCAGGAAGAAGCGAAGGTAATCACAATGCTTAACATTCGTGAAACATATACAAAGTGGTTTTAGTTTATTTTCTTACTTAAGCTTCACTACTTTTAGTAACTCTGCTTTGACAAATAAGATCACTGAGACATGGGTCTCACAATTAGTGATGAAAGCAGGAGTCAAGTCCAGGCCTCGCTCCTAATCTAGCTCACTTTTCACAACCTGGCCTGTGTCCAGAAGCAGGAATTGCATTGTCAAGTAGTTGCACAGCTGCTCTTAACTTGGCCAGAGTCTTGAAAAAAAAAATCTTGCCAATACTATCAAAACAACTTTTAAGCAACAGAAACAAATAGATACATTAATTTACCACTTAGAAAGAAGTATAAATGGACACTCTCCCTTAAGGACAAAGTACTGAAATATCTTTAAAATGTGACTGCTATTTAAAGGCTACAGCATTTACAGAAGTGTGATTCAAGTATTTATTGTATACCGTATTAATTTTGCTAACATTTTTAAAGCTAGTACTATGTTTTAGGCATTGTAAAACGAAGTAGAACTGTAGAAACAAGACAGGCATAATCCTGCCCTCTAGGAGCTCTTGGAGAGATAGAAACATACTACTGTTGCTTTGAGATGCATACATAGAGGGGCTAGACTACAGAAGAAGAAATGGTTATCTTTCCCTAAGGAGAATAAGGGTCAAGAACGACTTCAGTGAGGAGGAGGTTTTTGGTTGAAAAATAAAATGGTAGTAGGTGCTAATCAGACAGATGAAGTTGTGGTAGGGTTTTCCAAGCAGAACGAAGAAAGAGTTTAACATAGCCCTGTAAGTAGGTTGGAGTATTAGGAGAGCTAATACAGACAGATAATTGGTCAGGGGTGTATAGTGGTGTGAGAGACAAAGCTGAAGATTATAATGGAGCCTTGCGTGCCACACCAAGGTCTTTATCCTGAGGGATACAGGAGACCAGAATTGGTGTTAAGATCCTATTTGCATTTTAACACACACAGGCTTGGGGAAGACGGTATTGAGAGGGACCGAGATAGAAGGCAAAGGGAGATTTGGAGGCTCTTGTCATCTAGACTAGTGCTACTCAAAGCTTGGTGCCCACTGGCCAACTGTTTCTTATGAGTCCTTGACAAATGTAAGAAGCTTGTACTGTAAGGCAAGCCAATGACTTCATGAAGCACACTGTTCAGTTGGGGCAACTTTGCTTTTATGGGAAGATTTTCTCCATAAAGGAAGCTGTATTTTGATGTACATTCTGGGGCTAGCCATTCACCTTGTAGTGGCCCCGATTTGAGTGGTCGTAGTCTACATCATTGGTCTTTAAATTCTTCCAAGGTCACATATTCACATGCAAAAACTGAGTATGTGCCTTTAACCTGTGTACATTTATGATCTCCATGCACACATTACTGTAATACCATGTTATATACACTATAAAACACACTAAACATACATTTTAAAAGATAAGATGAAAATAAATGAGTAACCTTTTAAAAAAATTTCACTAAAGTGAAAGCACTGTAATTAAATATACTTCACTAATTTTGAAAATTGCTGTTTAACCCTTTCTGATATAGCTATTCAGAGGTCTGCTTCTGTTTCAGTCTAGGTTTAAGTGGCTGTCAGTGAAAAAGTCACCTCACAAAGATAGATGGTTCCCCATGGACTAAGGCAGGCATGGCTGTACTCACTAAGTTAAGATTCTCAACTCTCAATCCAATTCAGGAACTAAATACAAGTTTTTTATTGAAATTCATATTCTTGGATGTCCATCAGTTGTTTTTGCACACTAACCTATGCATGTGTCATTTCCATATTTTATACACGTGGATTTTAAGACCATTGTAATTATTGATTTGAAATATTTTTAAAAAGGATAAAATTCAATTTCTGGTTTTAACAAACATAATTTTCATAAGTGATATTCACCATTCTCATCAGGAAGATTACATAACTTGGAAATGTTTTTAAATACCTGTTTCTAAAGGTCATTTCCAAAGCACAAATTTCTTCAGAGAAACAACATTAATTAGTGAAATATCACCTTTATCCTGAAGGAGCAGTTATAATTCTTTAAAATTTTTTAAAAAATGTTTTTATTTTTTTGAGAGAAAGAGAGAGACAGAGCATGAGCAGAGGAGGGGCAGAGAAAGAGGGAGACACAGAAATCTGAAGCAGGCTCCAGGCTCTGAGCTGTCAGCACAGAGCCCGACTCGGAGCTCAAACCCATGAACTGTGAGATCATGACATGAGCCAAAGTTGGATGCTTAACCAACTAAGCCACCTAGGTGCCCCTTGAAGGAGCAGTTATAAAGTTGTCTTTTTTTTAATGTTTATTTTTTTATTTTGAGAGAGAGAGAGAGAGAAAGAGAGAGAGGGAGAGGGAGAGAGAACAAGTGGGGGAAGGGCAGAGAGAGAGATGGAAGGAGAGAATCTAAAGCAGGCTCCTCACTGTCAGATCAGAGCCCGACAGAGGGCTTGATCCCACAAACTGTGAGATCATGATTTGAGCCAAAATCAAGAGGTGGCTCAACGGACTGAGCCACCCTGGAGTCCCTATAAAGTCATCTTTTAAAAGTATCTTCCAGGTTAAAAAAAAAATCACATAAAAGGCCAGCACATTTTTTTTTTCACTTGACTTTTTGTAGAAAGAAAAATGTATAATGCTTTTAAGTACTTTGCCATCAGTTAACAATGAATCCCATGCGGTATAGTAGATTTTTAGGGTCACTCTGCCCTCTCATATGGCACCTATGTGTTAAGAAAATAAGGCCATATGGCCACCTGGGTGGCTCAGCCCATTGAGCGTCCAACTTCAGCTCAGGTCATGGCCTCACACTCATGAGTTTGAGCCCCCAGTTGGGCTCTCTGTTGTCAGCATAGAGCTCACTTCAGATCTTCTGTCCCCTTCTCCCTGCCCCTCCATTGCTCATGTGCTCTTTCTCTCTCTCTCTCTCTCTCTCAAAAATAAAAATAAAACATTAATTTAAAAAAGAAAGAAAATAAGGTCATAAATTCACTTAACTAGGTGCATTCAATCTAAAAAGGAAGTACGATTGTTAGAAGTGAAAGAGTGACGATGTTAAGTACTCAAGACTGTGGATCACCCACTGTTCCCTGGGAATGCGTCCATTCCCTACCTGACACCTGAGGGGCTGCAGTCATCTGTGTATATAGTACCAAAACTTAATTTGTCCTTATTTAAAAACATTTCTTAATGTTTATTTTTGAGAGAGAAAGAGAGAGACAGAGTGTGAGCGGGGAGGGGCAGAGAGAGAAGGAGACCCACAATTTGAAGCAGGCTCCAGGCTCTGAGCTGTCAGCGCAGAGCCTCACGTGGGGCTCGAACCCATGAACTGTGAGATCATGACCCAAGCCAAAGTCAGACCCTTAATGAACTGACCCACCCAGGTGCCACCTTATTTTTAAAATCTTAAATATAAATAGAACCTCTAATATTTATCCTTGCCTCTAATGGATTACCTTGTGCCTTCTCCTGGGGTGCTGTGTTCTGCTTTGGCAAGGACTGGACCAGATGTTCAATGGTGAGATTCTAAACTGCTGTTTTTAAAAATAATTATGTCTCATCTTTTCCAGTGATTGTAAATTTTACCAGATAGGAGTCAGACAATTTATACTCTTCCTTCTTCATGCCAAGCATTGTGCAATGCACATTCACACACATTTTTCTCTGCACAGAGTGCCTGCCACCTGTTTGTAGACC